GTGTCAAGGACAGAAAGGCAGATGTGGCAGTGGAAGGTGTCAAAGCAGTTTGGAGAGAAAAACAAAGTAAAGAACAAAAAAAAAAAGAAAACCCTTAATCGATTATTAAACTAGTCATTGATTATTTTAATAATCAATTAGTTGTCGATTAATCGTAGCAGCCCTATACAAAACTGTTCTAAATATAAGCTTTAGTGTTCACAATACAGACATTTCTTAAAGTCTTAAGAAGAAAAGCGTGAAGGTCTGTCCTTCAGGATGAGATCATTTCACCGAGTGCAGCCCGTCTGGAACAAATATTCTGAGTTTTTCAAGGCTGAGAATCTGGAGTTGTAAAAACAGAGCAGCTCCACAAGGTACGGACGCGAAAACGCTGGCTCCACTTTCTGTCTGGAGTTTTGATAAAAGCTTGCACGTGCACAGTGAAGATGACTAATCAGAAAGGAATCAAAGAGTGAGGTGAATGGCAGGGCTGTGTTTAGCTAAGGCCAGAGCTGCTGTGATTTGTGTTTGCCTCTGGCMGACTGTGAAAACCAAGACATCGTACAGAGCCAAAAAAACTAACTACAAGAGGACACTCAAACTGAGACGAATTTTGTAAAGTTATACAGGAAAAACAGTTTGTCCAAGTTCACAGATCACACACAAAATGTTGGTGGAGATATGAAGGTCCATTTCATTTTTGAGACATTAAATTGGTATTTTGAACACACACATGGGAGTAATGAGCATGGTGAGGTAGTTGAAGCCRTTTATCATCACGCCCACGTGGAGGTTTGAGTCACTTGGGTGGCGTTACTACCACACAACAAAAGCTCAACTCAAGGTGCAGGATCCCTGGTTGAGGTGACGGATAGCGAAGCAGGGCTGCTGTAGGTTCACCTCCTGTGTGGTGGCTCTGGGGCAATGACTGTATGACAGTGACAAGACACTAAAAGCCTTCCTGTCAGGGAAGCAGGCAGACGTCCTCCAACCGAAACACGGAGGCTCGGGGTGACATTTCACAGGGCACAGCTGCTGGGCTACCAGAGCACGCCAGCTCATTATTCCTGAAGGGTTGTTGTTTGTTCAGTGCGCGTCACAACTCCAGCGGCGACTCTGCAAGAGTACGCCAAATAAAACTCATCGTTTTCTTACCAGTCACTGTTAGTTACGTCTTACACTGACTAAATATTAGGATGTTCCGTTCTTATTGGTGCAAGTGAGGAAAACTGGACATTTRCCAGTTTTGAGACAAAAAAATATGTGGGAAAAAAAAGCAGAAGATTACAAAACTGAGTACACAATCATACAGGGTTAGAATGAATGAGACACGTCAAACAAGTGCAATTTATGCAATTTTATACCAACCCCTATTTAAAAATGCTTTAGTTCATATTGACCACAAGAAAATTTTAATAAAAACAAGTAAAATCTATACTAATATCCAAAAAACAAAACTTTTGGCAACAAATACTATTTTCAACATGATGCAAGACCACAAACCCAAATAAGGTGACAATTTTTTTTTATAATTGTGGCTTCAAATAACTTCCCCTGCCAACAGGCATGAATGCTCCCAATCAAAAACATTACGATCAGTAGAGCAACTTGTTTTCATGCCACTTTCCACTTTAACTTGATCCTTTTTTAAACATTCAATTATGACCATACTGAAAATATACACATAGATATTTTAACAGCTTTTCCTGAAATTAAACTAGGTATAAAAATGTATTTAGCACTTTTAAGCACAAATGCCACATAAGGTAATCCTTCAATTTTAATTGCATTCATAAAGTAGAAAAAGTAAAATAAAAATAAGTATTTATTATCAAAACTGTTTATTTGTTACCAAAACAATTTATCAGTAATGCAGCGGAGATAGCTGAGCTGCACACGTGTTGCTTCAAATTTCCCTCATTTTTTTTTCTTCATCAGTTAAATGTGACCCATAAAACCGGTAAAAAGCAGATCATTTAAAATATGCTTTGATGTTCTGGGTTTTATTTTCATTTCAAATTCTCCAGCAGCATCTTAGCTGTAGGAAATGACCAACCAGCATGTAGGACACACTGCAGTCTGCGTTGCGCTTCCTGAGTGTTTCGTGTTTAACCAATTTATTTAATTAGTGGTCGAGCTGGCAGACTCCAAGATTCCACCCGAAAAATTGCAACATGCTACTGAAATACCTGGAATTTCTTTGCCATATTTTAACATTTAAAGAGCAGTTCTTTCTATGTTTGAGTAGTACACGTTTGTCTTTTTAAACCAACAGATCAAGCTGATTTCATATAACTACAACCAACTCTCTCAAAAACAAACAAAACCTTGCGTGCAGATGCGAAGGAAATTCTGAATGCTTGTTTGTCTGATAAAAAAGCTAATAATAAAAAACTTTATTAACTAAACAAGCAATGCATAGCCCTGCTTTCTTTTGTTTTGTTTCCGATAGCATTGTGGTAACAACAGAATCGCGAATTATCTGTAAAGTCCCGCTGACGCAAAACTCGAGTGCGCACACACAGATTCCTTTTCTCCCATTGTAATAAAAACACGGTCGATATTAAAATTAAAAGCACACAAATTTGTGTCATGTTTCAAAGAACTTGTGTAAAAACACAACTAAAAAGTTTTAAGCCTGAAACCCTGGTGATAACTAGAGTAATAAAAACAAAACCAAGTTAGTTTTGCTCAAACAAACCAACCAGTTCAGAGTTGAGATGGTCAAATGGAGTTTGTGTATTCACATGCTACTGAGAGGAAACAGTCTGTGGTGGTGAGTTAACTGGAGGAGGCAACTATGGTACTGATACATCTGCAAATGTATACCAATCAACACTTTATATGTCCAATTTTAAATATATTTAATATACAATATTATTAGAGTAAAATTATTACTTGATACCTTAATCTGCTACATTTATAGTCGTGTTAATGAAACTTGCAGATGGGTCTCATTTCCTTGTGTTATAACTACCACAAGGTCCTAAATAAATAAATAAATAAATAAATAATAACAAGGAGTTGTATTTAAAATATTTATAATCAAAGATACATCTTTTTAAAAATCTGATAACATATGTGTTCTCATATATTTAAAAAGATGATCAAGTCAAAATTACTGGGAAAACATTTGTAGTATTTAATGGAAAAAAGATATGAAGGATAACTGATGTTTTTAATTTTTTTTAAATTTGGAAATCATTCAAGTTTCAGTTTGTTGAAGTTGTTTTCTGAAAATAAAGGGCAGATTCAAGCTTTTTCTTCACTCTGCAGTCTTTTCATTCAGGGCATGGTTTACTTTCTTCTTTATCACTGTACATAGATTTTGTTTTTATGAATGAAATTAACTAATTAATTAAAACATGATACAAATACAGTTGCGTGTTTTGATTCTACTACAGCTAACTAATAGGGCTGCTGGAACCTGAGTATGTTTCCTTCTATCATGCTCCAATGTGAATTGCCTCCGTGTCTACTTTAGTTTCCGTCACACTTTTTAATCGAACCGTATTTTACATCTTTGCCTCCAGTTCTCTGCGAATTTGCTCATCTTCCTCGTTTTCTTGAAGATCCTCGTCGTCATCCTCAACAGTTGGAGAATTCACCGACAACACTTCTCCAAAAAACGCTGCCATTATTGTCCCAGAAGTTTCACAACAAAATAAAAGTTTTAGCTTATCCCCCCCGCCGGCGGAAGCAACCCGTCAAAATAAAAGCAGTGACGTGACCGTTAGTGGTTTGGTCCCTAGATAACATGTTGATTTTACTTGCTTCCTGCATCGCAGGACCTGCAATGTGACGATTGTGCACACAGTGCATCACGATTTACCGTGCTGCTTTCCTACCCAACACCTTAACGCTTCCCTGAAAAACCTAAGCTTGAAAGGACATATAGTCCTACCTCTTCACAGTCCTCCTACTGGGACTCCCCAGTGTGAGTGCACAAAACATAGAGGTAGGAGTTGAGGTTAAAATGGAATCAGTCGCAGCATGAATTATAAACACACGTCTTCCTGAAGTTGATCCACTCCTTGAAGACAGAGCAACAATCTGTTTACATGAGTTTTATTAGTGACCTGCTTCCAGTATCTTCTCCATATCCAAGTTTCCGCATATCCACTGAAAAAGTCTGGTGTTTTTTGGCTCTGGGTTTGGGAGATGTCAGTGGTTTTGGAAAGTTTCTTATCCTGTTTTGCCCCTGGTGGTGATGGAGTGGGCTCTGTGAGGCAGCTGCAGTCGAAGGCAGAGTTAGTATGCGCACATAAAGCTGCTCAAAGCCAGCAGGTATGTGAGGAATGCCTTTTCGTCCAAACAACAGGACTCGCGCCCGACACAGAACCATGTCACACCACACAACACTGCCAGGGGAACCGAATGGGGCCCAAMTGGGGACTCCACAAATAAGTAGTACTTTAGTTCAGATGTTTTTTGTTTTTTTTTAATCAAAATGAATCCCTGCCTAAATAGCGACCATCAATCACAAAATTATTGACAATGTACAACAATACAAATATGCTAATTTATCAACAACTACATCAGAAATTAATTTCTGGAACTACTCCAGTACATAATGTACATAAAAAGGAGGTAAATCAAAACTGACAGTGCAGAACGCAAACATGCATCAACAAGGGGTTTGAGGCCTTTTTGCGCAATGAACATTTTTTAAAGTCTTTACATATTTTGTGTTTCATGGTAGCTTAGTTAACCTGCATGTTTGAACAGTTCTAGTAATCACTACACTTGATTTGATTTTGATTTGATTTATTGATTTAACAGGAAAAGATTACTAAAAATCAAGCCTGACTCAGCATAATTGCTGTTTTACAGCAGGTTCCTGTTCTGCAGCACATAAAACACTCAGAAATACAGCATCACAATCACATTATTACACACCATAGACACAAAGACAAACAAGCATACCATTTACTTGACTGTAAATAAAGTGCCTGTGACAATTATCTTTAAAAACAAAGTTAATAATTATAAAGTAGAYGCTTTGTTATTACCTCTTTTATGCAGCCATCCCTCCTTGACGATCACCACACTGGTCATGTTGGTGGACTAGATGGAGGATCCAGGTTTTCCACAGGGAGAGAGACAATGCTGCTTCCTTCACTCAGCCCTGTGCAGGAGCCTGGAGACGGGGTCCTGGGGTTTAAAGCTGCCTTCTCAATGGTGGTAACCTATTAGTTGGAGAAAAGTAAAAATTAGCCTCACTTTGAGGTGAGGGATTTTGTTTCATCTGTCTGAATATTAACCCTCAGGTCAACAACGTAGAGTGGAGGCGGCGGAAGTGAGAGGATCCTCGTGCTTTATGGCCCAATCTGAGGAGGACGCGCTCGCAGCCACAGTGGTGTCCTTTTAACAAGTGGAACCTGCAACATTTCAAGGTTCAAATAACTGTGCGAGGCCGTGGTTTTTGGCATTCGCTGTGAACTCGCCCATATTGGAAAATTCCATGCTGTTCACAACGAAAGCACCCATTCCTGATAGACCAGGAGATTTTCCCTCTACTTGTGACCACAACAGCACTAAAAAAAATAATAAATGACGTCAAATAATTCTCACACAAGCCACACACATTAATAGATTGTCAAGCTTGTTTTGCCGCAGTATAAAAAAAGTGTATGCTAATGGTTTTGGCAAAGCTAAACTCAGATTTTCCATCTGACTGTATCAGAATTTTTAGTTTTACTTTTATCCTGTAAGCAAGTGATAACAAAACTTAAAATTAACAGTGTTCTTTAATTGTTTTATTTYCCCACCAATACCACTGGATGCATTTTTAATGCAGATGACAAAATTTTATCACATTTTTAATAAATTTGGACTGGAAGAGATTAAAACTACATTTCTTTTTGTTTTTTGGCACGTTTTATGCTTCACWATAATGTTTTAGACAACTTATGTAATGYRTTTTGTCTAAAATACTAATAAAAGTTATATAAATGAATCAATTTGTTAGAATTACAGTATGTACACGCCTAAAAGAGGCTTCCAGTTGATTTTTTAAATTYCATCTTCAACGTAGAYGTCTTTAAATTTTTYACAATATGGCATAAGACGTTATAGTGTAACAGGGCCTTTACAATACTTTGCTACAACAAATTAACTTGAATAACACTAATTAGGGTTGGGCGATATGACTGAAAAATGCATCACGATATTAAGCATTTCRTTTTAGTCGCCATTCATTAGTTTTTGGTTTTACCCACTTGGAATAAGAACCAGGAAAAAAAAGACTGATTATTGCCAAACTGGTGACGTGACCTTTCCMCTTTTATCCACAATTTCCTCTCGAGCTGTTGCATCATTTTCTCCTTTCACTCCATGTTGTTCAAAACAACTGAGGCACGGTGGTAAAAACAAGAAACTGCTAATGTGCATATTACTCAACAGCTTTTTGCTAGCTAGACTAACGTCTNTTACAATACTTTGCTACAACAAATTAACTTGAATAACACTAATTAGGGTTGGGCGATATGACTGAAAAATGCATCACGATATTAAGCATTTCATTTTAGTCGCCATTCATTAGTTTTTGGTTTTACCCACTTGGAATAAGAACCAGGAAAAAAAAGACTGATTATTGCCAAACTGGTGACGTGACCTTTCCCCTTTTATCCACAATTTCCTCTCGAGCTGTTGCATCATTTTCTCCTTTCACTCCATGTTGTTCAAAACAACTGAGGCAYGGTGGTAAAAACAAGAAACTGCTAATGTGCATATTACTCAACAGCTTTTTGCTAGCTAGACTAACGTCTCAGACAACTTACGAAAAGTTTGTCCAACACTGAAGGTTTCTTAGATGTAGACTGAATTAAAAAAAATCTACTGGAAGCCTTTTTTGGACCTATACACACTGTTATGCTAACTATTAGATCTAATGTATAGCATATGAGTGAAATTATCACAACAAAACTGTCCTAAATCAGCATTAGTTGTCTAAAACATAATAGGCCTTTACCAAAGAGTGAGTGAATTACTTGATGCCATCAACCTTGCTTAGCTTCAGTAGCTGTTGTGTTTTATCACAATCTCTGGTTCTGGCCCATCTGTAATGTTGATTTCCCTACGTAAACTTCTATAAGCTTCAGCAAGTGACATTGTCAACGTTTCGGCATATTTTCTATTGATACTGATCATGTGTCTACTGTAGGGATGTCCCGATACCACTTTTTCACTTCCGATACGATACCAATACTACAACTTTGAGAATTGTCCGATACCAATTGACCCGTTACCATAACAGTACAAGTCACACACTTTTACCTATTTTGAAGTGTAAAATCTTAGAAAAGTCTTGATTAGGTCAAACAGTGAAAAAGAGTAGGTATGGGGAAAAACTGACCCACAAAACCCCACATTATTGTCTGTTCAAAGTTAAGAGTCCACAGCTCCAATTTTACTGACTGTAACCAAAACAACGTGATCATTGCACTTAATCTTCACTCACACAAGTGTGTAAACAGATTACTGTATTTTTCGGACTATAAGCCGCGACTTTTTTCCTGAACTTTGAACCATGCGGCTTATAGTCCAGTGTGGCTTATACGTGGATTTTTTTCTTCAGCCACCAGGGGGCTCTTAGGCTGCATTTGCTTCAAACACAAAAAGAAGAAAAAACAAGAAAAAGGCGATCGCTTCCAGAGCTGACTGTTGACCAGGAAGCAGCGATTTAAAGATAGTCAATGGCCAAAAGCTCATAAAAGGGGATAAAAMAGACATTTTTCATGGTGGAATCTGACTGATAAAAACTTTGGAGCTTAATCCAGGACCAGTTTGTGGATAAATGTCGAGTGAAGAGCCGCTGACTTTTTTTTCCGGCATTGCACTCCCCGGGGAAGGAATCCCATGCAGTGACGTATGCTGGAGCGGGAGAGCTTTCCCAGCAGCTGGACTCTGGGTTTCTTGGGGGAACTATGAAAGGTCAGTGCGAAAACAAACGCCGAACAACCACGTGACGGTGCGTTGACCGGTCGACAGCCGGGCGACCATACTGCCAGCTTAGCCGGAGGTGTAGCGCCATTTTGTTTTAGCTAGTAGCAGACACGACGGGTCTTCGACAGACATGATATCGGACAGTATATGTGGGCTCACAT